CTCTCTCTCTCTCTCTCTCTCTCTCTCTCTCTCTCTCTCTCTCTCTCTCTTGGAAAAAATACTTCTTGAAATGTGTCCCAAGAAACACAGGGGAAGGTTCGAACTGAAGGGTCTATACTGGTTCGATACTTGGGATATGTCCGTAACACGAAATGTTGTGGATGATTATACGGTGCTTGTATTTTCCATTTCTCAGCCCTCTGGCGTGCTATTTTGCCATTTCTTGCGGACTTCATCTCTCTGTCAATCTCCTGTGGATACATCCGAACTTTGGTTATCTTGAAAATTTACATTGCCTAGCTGCTGTACTACAACGATCATCTCAAATGTTTTTAAAAGCGAGGCTGATGATCTACGCGTGTGCTCGAGCCTGCGCCTCATGTGTGGCGTCTCGAGAAAATGAAGTACAGTCTCTTTGAGACTCTCTTTCTCTCGCTCTTTCTATATCTCTCTCTCTCTTTCTATATCTCTCGCTCTTCAAATGTACACAACCATTTCTTGCGGACTTCCTCTCTCTGTCTATCTCCTGTGATCTCGGATACATCCGAACTTCGCTTGTCTTGAAAATTCACATAACCTTGCTGCTCTCTTACAACGATCATCTAAAATGCTTTAAGAAGCGAGGCTGATGGTCTACGTGTGTGCTCGACCTTGCGCCTCCTGTGCGGCGTCTCGAGAAAATAAAATACAGTCTCTCTTAGACTCTGTCTCTCGCTCTTTCTGTCTCCCTCTCTCGCTCTTTCTGTCTCTGTCTCTCTTTCTATCTCTCTCGCCCTAAGTCTGTGAAGAGCCACAACTCGTTAAAACACAGTGTAATATATTACTCTGTTGTGGTGTTCCCCATCTCGACACATCCGAACCAGAAGAGGAGCGCATCAGATATATGTACTGAGGCAGCAGATACATGTACTGACTCAGAGGCGTATAACACAGTGTAATATACTCTGCTGTGGTGTTCCACATCTGGACACATCCGAACCACGAGAGGAGCGCAGCAGATATATGTATTGATTGTGCTCCTCGTCTCAAAGCTGATTTTACTCCAGGTTCGGATCTATCTGGATCTGGAATACCACCAGACTGTACATTGCGTCATAAATTCGTTTCAAAATAGTACACACAATAATGTACTGTTTTAACGAATAACATGTTCATTGATCCTCCTGAAGATGAGCGGGATGTATTGCTCCATGTTTTGAGAGCTTTGGTGACTGCGCTGGTGGCAGAGCATGCAGGAAATATTGTGTCGATGGCCGGATGGGGCGTGTCGGTCAGGGATCCTCTCGCGCGTCCGGGGTTATGGGGCGAAATCAAGGAGTACGAAGGTTATTCGTGGTAATGTTTTCATGCAGAGCAATCAGTGGATCGCGGTTCCTGGTGCTTTGCATAAGATCTTTCTGCAGTGCTTGAGGGGACTTGTTTTTAGCAATATATACTTCATGGTCCGCGAGCAGAGCGGGCGTATCGTACCATGTATAGTGACCTTTGGTGTGTGAAGGCGGTGCATGGGGGGCTGTACTATGGATCATGGGAACCTGCGGCTGTGGTTTTCTGGCTGTACACTATACAACATGGGGCGTTTTGAACAGCTTGTTCATATTCGGTGGTTAGACCATCATAAAGGGGTTCGTATTGTCTCGTGATTGTGGTATGGGTGATGGCTTTATGGTAGTTTGCAAGCATGGGGTGCTGTTTTAGCAGTCCTAAAGACATTAAGTGAGGGGTGATGCAGTTGTTGAATATCAGTGGTGAAAAGAGGAGGAAGGAGTCGAGGTAGACAGAGGGCGGGTTTATAACACGGGGGCGAGGGAGAGGGGGAGAGAGAGAGAGAGAGGGGGGCGTGGTAGGGGGTAGAGGGGACATGGGAGAGAGAAACACATGTGGGGAGGCAGTGCTAAACAAGGAAGAATAAGAGTGCCTTTGAGGAAGTATTTTTATGATACGGAAAGAGATTACATCAAGGAGGTTGTCTGGGCTTAGAGTATTCTCATATTCGATCCTGGTGTGAGAGGGACGAGAGGGGACGATCGAGGTAAAGGAGATGGGATAGTAAGCCAGAAGGGGAATGGTGAGAGTCTAAAGAATAAGAGAGGGGGGGAAGGGAAGGGGGGGAGGGGGGTTGGTAGGGATAGTGGAGTAAGGTGACATGCAGGGCACGGTAAGAGGGATAAATAGTGAGAGAGAGAGGGGGGGGAAGAGCTGGTGCAGCAACAATGTTCATGGGAAGGGGGGCTATTTTTTCCTAGGATTTTCCTGGTCTCGATCTTGGTGCGCGTGCATATGCGCAATAAAAATTGATCAGTATCGAAAATGTTTTTTGATTACAAACAAAAATTCGCAATGTACTCATGTGCATGTGTTAGCAGCTGTTTCTGTTATGTCGAACGAGGGTTAGCGAGAGAAATGTTGCATAGGACTTCCAAAAGATTATATACACCTTTATATATATATATATATTTATATATATATGCATTTATATATGTATATATATATATGCATATATATATATATAAATATATTGGAGGATGGAAAGGTATGAAGGAGAGG